TGTTCCAGACTGCATTTGTCTTTTGCCGAAGCTCAGACTCTGGCACAGGATCGGGAACTTTGGAAGCTCTCTCTGAGGCGTCTGCCTCTGGGATCCGAAAAGAGAAGCGGCGATGGAAGACGAAGAAGATGGATGACAACGTAACAAAGGAACGGCTGCGCCGACTTATCTCATCTCGCAGTGATTCATCGGACAAAAGAAAAGGAATTGTTTAAAATACGAATCCTAGTTACCAATACCATTGTCAATACCAATACCTTGTGCAACAGAACGCGATATTAACATATATATCATGCTCTCTTTTCACATTTTATTCTTATAATGACTTTACGGTCGCAATATATACTAGAAGCTTCAATAAACCGAAAGAACGAAAAATATGAACGAGATGCATGAAATTCAGCGCGATGACTGACTGTGAAACTGTAGGATTGCCTGGGAAGACCTACGAGCGCCAGAGAAAGAAGTTATAAAGAACATGTGGCAGCTTTCAGAAAAGTAAAATCCGAATATGCGAACGTTTTTATGTTGTTTTCTGTCTGGGACAGCCATTTGATTTAAGAAATGAAAGAGAACTGACAACTACTTGTCTGCTTGTCTGTCTGTCAGAGAAACATCGCACGTTTTGGCCAACAAAGGCTCTATTTGAAACGAATCTGGGAGTTCATTTAAGTGACATTCGAAATGTTGCCAAATAGTATATTTGCAAGGGTAAATTGAGAAGCGGATCCTGTTGTCGATGTTTCTAATATACCGTAACCGTGTTGATGACACCAGTGCGGTTATGATACGAATGAAGGACGTAAAGTTTGTTCGCAATCTATTGCTCTGAGCCATCAATCAAGAAGTGAAAAGAATGATTGTTTTCGAATAGACAACAAATGGATATCTGCCTCAAAACTGATTAAAAGAAAAACAAATACAACAATAATATAAAGGAAAAAAAGTGAATATCAATCGCAACGGTGATCAAACGAAGCCATTGACAAGAATTATGCACCGACACACTGGAAAGGTAGGTAATTAACCTTAACTAGTTATGACTTTGAGTATTCCTTTCGTCGAGGCATTTGATGTTTGAAGAATTTTGAAGAATCACCTCCTGACTTCACAAATCTAGGCCAAGTGGCGCTCTTAAGGGTGCCGCACGAATGACATGTAATGGCATGTTGATGCTAGATGACAGTGAGATGACAGAAGTTGTAGAGCACAAAAAATTTAAATCAGTTTACTCAAATGTCTCCTACGAATCACAAAAATTTTTATTCCTCACAGAAAACATAACAACTGCACTAGGAACAAGTAACATTAAAAAAAAGACTGGGCTGGATTGTCGAAAATTTGCTTAAAATTTCGTCATGTCTTCGAACGAGGGAGTAGGAGTAAACAAGAGTGGCGTACAGAAGAACAGGAGCTGCGCTAGGCATATCGAAATTAAATATGTACAGTAATCCACAACGTATGATCATCTAAGCATGGTTCCCTAAATGAAACGGCACACAGAACCCGGCTGGCTAGCTCACTTATTTGAGGCTCCAAATACGAAATCCGTGAACAGTGAGATCCGGATACGTCAAAGCCGTAATGCAATTAAAAGCAATGGCAAGAAACTGTGCACCTGGTGGACGCTATTCAAGCTGTGTGCTTTGTGGAGAGTACTTGCAGTAGAAATCGCAACCAACTCGTATTTCAGAGTACCGCTGGGCAGAGATATATTTGTAAATGGGCCGGTGTGTAGGAGCTGATTTCTCGTTCAGTGGGAGAGCTTTATCTGCTCTAAACATTTAACACAGGTAAAACGATGTCAGTTCATCGTCTCGCTTAACAATTGGCCGTGCTGACACATTTTCAACCAATCAGCTCATAAGCGAAACGGGGAACAAACGATCA